TAAAGTCAATTCTGCAAAGAAAAAAGGGGTGAAATTCCTCTACTTTGACTGAAGGACTGATCTCCAGTCATGGGAAACATTTGGTGGCCAATGTTGCTGCACAACCAGTTAATTTCCAGTAAACCAGTACATTCCCATGGGTGATATAGGTGGTTTTAAATAAATGAAAATAAATGAAATAATCATTTAAAAAATGTTTTTTTGTTTCCTCATGTTCTCCTTATCCTATTTTACATTTTGAAGTAACAATACAATTTGATCTGAAGCCTTTTAATGACAAATATGCAAAAAGAGAGGCAATCAGGAGGGGGTAAATACTTTTACACAGCACTGTGCATATATAATTGACTGCTGGCTGGGCTGGCCCACTTCTCTTGGGACTGCGCTGGCTAAATGTAAATCAGACCCATCTTGGCAGTATTCTTGTGACCTTTTGGAGGCGCTGTTGTTCTTGGTTTCCAGAAGTCTAAAATAATCAGCTTCAAGTCATTTATTTACTTACAGCAGATTTTACTGTGGATGACAAATGTTAAACTATTCTTTTCTTTGAAAGAGAAGGAGGTCAAAGGCCTGCTTGCATGTTTAAACTAGCCCCTCCTGCAAAATAGTTCAAACCATTAACACAACCCACATTTGTTCATTGGCACCACTGGGTTGCCAGATTGACCCAGCTTGGGTTATTTTTATCGCATCAGTTTTCACAGTGTGGTAAATCCATTTACTTTCTAACTTACATCTGTCCTAGTTTCTCAATCAAGGTTCTAAAAAGGGTTCTTTGCAGCAATACCATAGAATAAAGACTTTTGGTTCCCCAAAGAATCCTTCAGTGGGTGGTTCCCGAATCCTCTGTTAGTTCCCCATTTAATGTCTTTGTTCTTCTTCAACGTTTAAGATAAATAGACCATCAGTATGTTGAGAAACCCAGCAGTGCCCCATGTAACTCACTGTGAGAACCATTAGAGCTGAAGCAGTGGCCACTTCCTGTGTGGCTACAGATAATGCACTTTAATAGCCAGCATGGAGCCTGTGCGGTTAGAGCTTCATAGACGATGTCATTACAAAAACCTGAGCATGAAAAGAACCTTTACAGCAGATCTGAAAGTAGAGCACAGCGAAGACCACATTGCTTAATACTTGCATTTGAAGGCAAAATACATAGGTCCTTTATAACACACACATAAGCACTGAATAACATTTAAAAAGCAATACTGGTGTGCACTGTTATATTCTGTGGAGGTACATTTTCCATTCATCAAGGTACAAACAATGTAAATGTTCCCTCAAAGGTACAACAGTGGTTTTAAGGTCTGATTGTGAACCTTAAATAAGTTTTTCCAGGTGAAAAGTTCGTATTTGTACCTTTTCATAACCGAATGTTTTAAAACAGAACAGTAAAATAAAAGCATGGAGACGAGACGGGGTGTGTGGAGTCAGTACAGCTTAGAACATATCATTTCAGTGGATTATGGTTCAGTTATGTTCCCTGACTAAAGGTACTGGAGATGGACCCTTGTAGGAACCACCCCAGTGACAAGAGGGGCACTGCCTCAGTGGCAGTTTACTACCTTTTTTCTGAGAGTGCATGTATGAAGCTGTTTCTGTTATAATATTCTGAAATTATGAGAGAAATACTTACTTAATTTGTTGTTTTTATATATTTTGTTTTTGTATTTTTATATCTATGCAGTTCCTTACCCCTAATTTTGACTAGTGACCACAGGTAAGTGTTATAAAAGTGTTATACATGGGAAATATATGACTACTGTTGTTTGATGGAGTACAAATCATGATGTACACATTATGTAAACTGCTGTTAAAAAACACTTTATTTGCATGCTGCCTGCATACGGACTGCATAACACATGCATATGCATTGAATAATGTATTTATACAGCAATGCCTGAGTATTTATGAGCACATTTATATGAAGTAAATTACATTGTATTGACATCAGGGGCCTCAAACTTGTTCCATTTATAACACTGTTACAAAGCATCATTACCATGTAATTGATGTTATAAGTGAGAGGCCTAGTTAAAGAGATAGATGGCCCATTTTACACATCAAGTTTGATGCTCTCATCACCAGGAGAACATTTCTGCTGTACAATAATGATTTTGATGGATCCTGTGGATCATTAATAACCTTTGCTTCTGCTTTTTTCTACAAGAGGTGGAGCAGTGGGTGTTACTGTGTCTCCACTGAGGAAATTTCCAGAAAATGGTAACTTGCAGCTCATAAACAGAAAGACAGACACTGCAACAGTATACACTCTTAAAAATATGGTTCTTCAGGGGTTCTTTAGTTAAACTGGATAGTTTTATTTAGAACCATGAGTCCCATAAAGAACCATTTCATGCTTAAATGGTACTTTTGCATGGTAAAATCATTCTTCAAATTGATGGAGAATGTGTTGTATATGGTTCTATATAGAACCTTATTGAATTATTTGTTCTATATAGCACCAAATAAGACTCTTCTACTGTTACAAGCTTGACATCGTAACAATAGACAAAACCTTTTTGGTGCTATACAGTATCATATACAACACATTTTGGAGAACAATTTAAAGAACTATTTAGGCTTGTAAAAGATTCTATATAGAACTCACAGTTCTAAATAGAACCATTCCATCTACTAAAGAAGCCTTGAAGAGCCATCTTTTAAGAGTGTATGATAGAAGGTCATACACCTAAGCAGACTGTTGTTATAGCATCCAATCAGTCTTCTGTGAAAAGTTAGCCAACACTCTTAAAAAGATGGTTCTTCAAGGGTTCTTTAGTTAAATTGAATATTTCTATTTAGCACAATGAGTGTATGTAGAACCATTTCATGCTTAAATGATTCTTTGCATGGTGAAATAGATTGATGGAGAATGTGTTGTACATGGTTCTGTAAAGACGTTATATACATTTTTGGTGCTATATAGAATCATAGACAACATATTCTGAAGAACCATTTCAAAGAACCATTTAAGTGTGCAAATGGTTCTAAATAGAACCATTCCCTCTACTAAAATCCCTTAAAAGAACCATCTTTTAAGAGTGTACGATAGAAGTTCATATACCTAAACAGACTGTTGCTATAGCGTCCAATTATCCTCCTGTGGAAAGTTCAGTCTTCTGCTGCTACAGCAGAAAAGCAACCCAAGCTAATTTGGACGGAATATCTTTGTTGGTTTATTATCTGGATATTTTGGGTTTGGACAGTCTGCAGTCGCTGTAAAGTTTGATGTGATTTGGTTAATAATGGCAATAAATTCCCGGCCTCTATTACCATTTAATGACTTTGACAATTGGGCACAGCACAAACGGTGTTAGGAGGTATAAATTACATTAAATTACATAAACTATGTTCGCATTATCTTATACATCAACACACTTGCAAATTTCATTCTCAAATGAGGTTCTTTAGGGAACCAAAAGTGGTTCTTCTACAGCATCACTTGAAGAACGCTTTGTGGAACCTGTTTTTTAGGAGTGCAGTTGAAGTGCAGGTGAACTTGTTCAAAACCTGAACACTTTTAGAAACATAAGTGCAAGTTCAAAACACATTTTAGGAAAAACAGTTTTTAACAGCATGTTATTACCATGGCAACTTTACACAGCTGCATGCTGCTGTTGGTTTGCATACTGTCTCTGTTTACTAGTTATGAAAGCTTTAGCGCAAGTTCTGCCAGGGGGACCCCAGTGCTACGTTGCTCAATACTCTGAACAATCACAAGTGTCCACCTCCCTTTAAAATCACTCGATTTACACGTCTGCTTTGCTGCTTTCAGATGCTGAGGTTTTGTCATACCCTTCCTTCCTCCCCACCGCCACCAGATGGTCCCCACCCGGTTGCCCAGGGGGTAGGCTCCACCCCTGCCATCCCTTTACTGCAGGATCTGTGAGGGTCTAGACGTTTGAAGACCTGGGCCGATGACAGGGCCTGCACCAAGGACTTTAACTTATAAACTTATAACTTATATTTAACTTATATTTTTAATATATTAATATTTTTCTTCCTTCATGTTTGTCTCTGGAGTCTCTCTGGTAGAACTGTTAAGATGCATGGAACAGAAACTGAGAAACAATAAGAGATGTCCATGTTCGCCTGTAACAGCCCTATGGACCACATGTCAAACTTACAGCAGCCAGTAAAGGAAGCATTTACCAACAGGAAGTTTAAAAGTGATACTTCAGCCAGTTTCAGCCAGCAATATTGATTATAGTTACCCATCCACAGAGTGAGTTAAATCAATGTTAAATATTATACAGCAACTAATTTCACTTTCATTTTGCTGCAGTAACAGCCTCTAGTCGTCTGGGAAGGCTTTACACTAGATGTTGAACATTGCTGTGAGGATTTGACTGAGCATTAGTGAGGCCAGGTACTGATGTTGGATGGTCAGTTCTGGATCACTCCAGCTCATCCCAAAGGTATTGGATGGAGCTCCATCACTCCTGAGAACACAGTTCCACTGCTCCACAGCCCGACGCTGGGGGGCTTTATACCCCTCTAGCCCATGCTTGACAATGGGCATGGTGACCTTAGACTCATGTGCAGCTGCTCCAGAGAGACCCATTCTATTAGTGATCTTAACAGTGAGATGAACTGTATGTGATGTTTCTTATGTGAATGTTGTGATGATCTGATACTCGGCATTAGGCTCTCTTTTCTGAACAGTTTCATTTTCTGTGTGGTTTCTGATCTTCTACTAAACTCTTTAGAAGGTAACATGTCTATTTCAGTGCTGAGGAGGAAGTGTGGTAGTGGCTGTGGTCGTTACATTCTTCTGCAGCCATGCTGATACAGTAGAGCTCAACAAGCCGAGCTCAGACAATGACTCCTGCAAGAGGACTAATCCCTTTAAGATACTGCAGACGGGCTTCACTGTGGATTCTGCTCTTTCAGCTCGGTTCACATTATGGTATGCTTTTAAAAACATCTACCTTCTTCCACTGGTGGAACGGAACGTTTTCAAAGTATTAACTTAATATCAATCTTTATCATTTCAGTTGCTACAGAAGATATGGAGCAGAGAGTGTACAGAGTTGGAGCCACGGTTCTTCTGGAGCTGAGACAAAATGTATCAGCTTCAGAGATGGATGATGTGCACTGGAAACTGAACGGCCAGCTTATTAGCAAAAAACGACACATAACACATCAGAATAAGGAAAAATACAGCATGTTTAAGAACAGCACACTTCAAATTCATGATGGCAGAAAGACAGACTCAGGAAATTACTCTGTGATCATATATAACAGTAAAGGACTTCATATTGTTGAAGAAAAGACCCACCTCACCTTCCTCGGTATGTACTGTAGATCAGATCTTCTCTGCTATCACTGTAGTCAGTTTATTGATTGTTATAGAGTGATTTCCTCCAGTTATCTCATTTTATCAGTGTTTGGTCTTCAGTTGAATCTGATCATCATCATTCCTCCAAAGTAAGACAATTTTGTCCTAATATTTATGGCACTGAATTCACTTCAGTTGTCTCAATGCAGCTGTGTAGAATAATAAATATGAACATTTCCCAGTATTTAATTAATTAATGTCCACGCATCTATGAATGGAATATTGTAAAAATACGGAATGAAAACATAATGTCAATGGCCAACATAGGTCAATGGCTAAATATAGACTAATAAACTCAGAAAAATATAATAATGTTCTTAGGAGTTCTGTATAGTACCAAAAAAGGTTCTATGGTTCTAATCAAAAAGAAGCCTTTGGCACTACATATGACCATTTTTAATATTTCACTGAAAAACATATAAAACAAGTGTTCCATAATAGAGAAGAACCATTTAATCATTGCATAATGCATAATAATTACATAATAATTCATTTTTCAATAATTCAAATAATAATTAATGCATTCGAACGGTTCTTCTATAGTCCATGGTTCTGTAAATGTCCATTGCCGTTAAGAACTGTTGAACAACCTTTTTGTTGTAAAGGTTTAGAGTTTTATGTTATCAGAATAATATCGGTAAAGACGCTGCATTACATTATTAGCCAAGTTATTATATATTTGGGTTCTACATGCTGTGGTTCCACAAGTGGTTCCACTTATGCCAATAGATGACCATTTTTGTTTGTGTGTTTACAATGACATTGCAAGGTCACTCCTAAAAATAAAAGAATCAAAAAGGGTTCTTTGCATTCCATAGGAGAACCACTTTTGATTCCCTAAAATAGCTTTCGGTAGATGGCTCTTTAGAAAGAACCATTATTGTAAATTGTTAAAGAACAACGACAAAATGTAAAGGTTCTAGGAAGAACCCTTAAATTGGTAGAGAATCTATATAAACGTGTAAAATATTCGTCACACTCACAAATCTCTTTTGCAAATTTGATTCTTTAGCGAACTATAAGTGGTTCTTCTATGGTGTCACTCAGAACATCTTTATTTTTAACGCTAACTGACTCTGATGTTCTACAGAGCCTGTCTCAGAGGTCAGGGTCTGGAGGCCCTGTTCTGAGCATAGAAACATCACCGTAACCTGCAGCGTGGAGAGCGGAGATGATGTCCATTTCCTCTGGACTTGGATGTTTAACGGAACCAATCAGAGCATGGAATCATCACCAGAATCAGAAGAACTCACTGTTCACATTCAGTTTGAGAATGACGTTCCTGAAGAGCTCATCTGTGAGGCGTCTAATGCTGTAAGCAAGATCAGAACCAACGCTCCACTGTGCAGAGGTAACTGTTCCTCTAACAGCGCACTCATTTCTACAGAACACTCTCAGGAATCTGAGATCACACAGGGGAGAGCGGCCACAACCTAAGACAGTTTGGTTTTTGTGAAATAATTTAAACAGTATTTCAGTTGGAACAATCATGTTTTTATATAATCAACATATTCATATCTGCTACAAACAAACACTTGAACTTTGTTTCTAGCTCCTATCGTTTGTGTACAATTCCAACCCAAAATGATGGGAAGTGCAGTTTTACAGTTTAGCCCATGGGTGGCATAAACCTCTTAACATTCCAGGTTTATTTCATACAAAGGCTTATTATTCAGTAACTAAAGAGACTTCAGTGCAAACTAAAGGACCTTTTCTTAGACTATAGAAATGTGTGATAATCCTTCGGCCCACTGGCGGGCGCATGACTCGTTAAGGGGTTAATTAGTGCAAACAAAGTTAATTCAAGATAATTCTATGTTGTAAGTAACAAATACATTTTTCAACAGTACTACATTATATATTGTCATCTATAAGACAGACAGCTCAACAGACAGACACACACATCAAAATATATATATAAACACTGATGTGACTCTGTGTGTCAATCAATGACAGATTTATTTTTGTCCAGTGAAAGACAGCAAATAAAAACATCACACATCAGTAAAATATGGAACATTGGTTCTGAATAACTACAGCTTTACCAGCTGTTAATGTCAGTTTCATTAATATACTTATTTATAACCAAAATACTGACATCTGAAAGATACTAATAAAGAAGAAAATCCCTGTTTTCAGATGTGTTTCTCTTTTCATTTTAAAATCTACAGAACAAAAAGACAAGATGTACTTTATTAGTCTTTGGGTACTAAAGGTGTCTCAGCTGTAACACTGTGTAAGAACTAACCCCGTAGTACCGAGGTTGGGCTTAAGCCCAGCTGCGCTTGCTGTGAGCTAGTCAGCTGCTTCTAAACGGTGCTGCGTTGTAGGAAACACGATGGTGATTATAGTAATATGAGGTTGGATTTTGTGATTCACACAAACAGCTCAGCAACTAAAAACCACTTGTGTTGAAAAAAATGAGTTACATGCCCTGAAAACACTCTTTGGCACAGATCTCTTTAAAACACTGATGAATCACTCTGAATTTTAGTGGGAGGCCGCGGTTAGGAAATGTGGTGATGTGGCCAGAAGCTCACGCAGCTTGACTGTGTTAAATTGTATCCGTGTTAAATTGTGCCCTGTGTTAGGTTGTTCCCCTACCTTCATAAACAGGTGTTTGTGTGCATACACTTCAGTTCAGTTCAGTTTTATTGTACTTTGTAAATAAGTACAGTATCACTGACTGTACACCACTGCTCTACCCTTAGACTACACAGATTATAGTCCTGCATACAAGGTCTAACTAGTTTTTAATATCCTCCAATAGATTTAAAAGTTTATTTTGGAAAATGACCTAAGACAAATATTACAAACAAGTCAGAGAAAAAATAGTGACCTATAGTGTTAAATGATTTTGTTGAAAATGTTGTTGCAGACACTGCTAGTTTGATTTCGACTGAATAACCTGCTTTATTTAAAATATTACTGTTAAAATGATTCACTAAACTAATTTACAAAGAGTAACAAAGCCTTACACTCACTTCCGTTTAAACTGAGAGAATGCCGAGCGCTATTGGCAGCCGCTTCTTGGTGGGTCTTCTCGCTGAATTACACTTCACTAAGCTTTCATGCTGGACTGTTTTTTGGACTATATGGTCTTCCTACCTGATTTCTGGAGTCATATTGCGCTGCTATTGGACTGTCTAACATTTTGGATTGTTGCTTACCCTCCGGATCGCTGGACTCCCTCAACACAGCCTCGTCCTTGCCGTGTCTAGAAGCCTTCTCTCCCATTGCCCTCCCATGCGCACTCTGCTACTCGGCCCGTTTGGTAAGTGAGTATCCCCTCCCTTGGCAGGTGCTGTCCAATGGCTCTGTTGTGTTGTGGACGTAGGGCCAGTGAGGTTGGCAATTTGGCCAGATGGCTGATGTTCTGTTTTGAAATACTTGCTTTGAATCTCCCAATCATGGTACTTGAGTATACATCAGCAGACTTACGTAGCTGGAACTGCCATTTACGCCTCGAATCGGAGATTTACAAGTACTGTAAATCACTTGGAATAGCTAGGGGCCCTCGCTACGTACATCGCTCAAGTAGGATCTACTGGACATTCCACTACAGTGTTTCCTCAGTGTCGGCAATACCATCAATGTGGTCATCTACACCGCACAACCCTCTACCTGCGCAGCGTGGACGCTGTGGTAGGGATTCTAATCTTTGGCGACCGTTGTGCAAAGTCGACTGCAGTCAGGAAACAGATATGAATCGCGAGGACTCTAGTAGCATGGCCTTACTAAACTGCCACTTGTTGTCAGGAAAATCGCTACTTCCTCGGCAAAAGATGCTTGAAAATAACTTTGACGCATTATTTCTCACCGAAACGTGGCAGACACCAAATGACTTCTTACACCTGAACTCACTGGCTTCTCCCGGCTTCAACTACCTATCTATACCTCGACTCAAAGGTAGAGGTCGGGGTTTAGCAGTTATATTCCGTAATAATCTAAGCTTTCTTGTGATAGACTCCTACAGACGATCTTATTTTGAACATCTTGTATGTAAATTACCTGGTCCGATTCCATTACTTGCCGTGCTAATCCATCACCCTCCTCCAATGCAGACTAGTTTTCTATCGGATTTATCTGAACTGCTTACTGAAGTATGTCGTCTACTGTTATATTACTTGGTGACTTTAATGTACATATTGACAAGGCCTCGACTATGTCAACTGATGTCAGCGCTCGACTGCTTTGGATTCACACAGCATGTAAACTTTCCCACACATGAGCATGGTCATACACTGGACTTAATCTATACAACTGGACTTGATAATATTGCTGTTCGGGGCACCCATATTGGTATATCTGACCATGATTTTATTGAATTCAGCTTTAAATTTCATTTCCATGGGTGCTCTAAGAAAAACCATGGTGACTTACAGAAATCTGAAATCATTTGATTCCTGATGAGATTCTCTCTGTATATAATGATTCCATCTTGCACCCCTTAAACAAAGGCTTGTGCCATCCTCCCGCTCTTCTCTGTGGTTTACCATTGAGCTTAGGCCTATGAAAGCCACTAGCAGGCGTATATATATTACTATATATTCTTTAGCCTTTGCAGACCGCATGTCTAGATAAAGAGATGCTTTAAATAGAGCATGTTCCTCTTATCTATCTTTGGTGATCCACCGTAGCTCATGCTGGCCCAGGACCCTTTTCAACATCACTGACAAACTACTGCAGCCCCCAGTAGTAGCTTCTAGTGGTTCAATTAAATTATGCAATGAATTTGCTCACTTTTTTCAGAATAAAATTGACTCAATCTGCCATCCCCTTACCTCTGTCTATCAGCCCACCCTGGATTTCTTCTCCCCCAATATTGCCCAGCCACTCTCATGTTTTACTCATGTCACATCTGTTTCTGTAGTAGAGCTGATTAAAAAATCCAATGCAACTCATTGTCAGTTAGATCCTGCTCCAACCTCCTTTATTAAGGAATATGTGACAGAGATAGCCATCCCTATCTCACACCTTATAAATAGATGACCAATTTCTAATCTCCCATTCACTGCTAAGCTGTTGGAAAGAGAAGTTGCTACACAGTTGCAGTTCCACCTGGAAGCAAATCATTTATATGAGCCGTTTCAATCTGGTTTCCATCCCTTGCATAGTACAGAGACCGCACTTCTTAGTGTTACTGATGATCTTTTATGTGTAGCTGATTCAGGAGATCTTAGTATGTTGATACTTCTTGATCTTAGCTCCGCCTTCGATACCATATCTATTATTCTCTCGTATGCACAGCATTGGTATTACTGGATCCGCCCTTTCCTGGTTTTCCTCATATCTCAGTGACAGACGTCAATATGCAGCTATTCAGAATAATACATCCTCTATGGTGTCTGCGACTAAGGGTGTTCCACAGGGCTCAGTTTTAGGTCCATTGCTCTTCACCATTTACATGCTGCCACTTGGGCAAATAATCCAGCTTCATGGTTTAAGTTTTCATTGTTACGCAGACGACACTCAGATCTATGTTAGCGTTAGCCCTGTTCAGACTACACCACCATCTGCTCTATCTGACTGTATCCATGACATAAAGTCATAGATGAGTTTGAACTTTTTAAAACTGAATGCTAGCAAAACTGAGTTGCTTTTAATTGGCTCAAAGTCACTGATGTCTAGCTCAACTGTCCTTGGCATCAATATCAATGGGATTCTAGTGACACCTTCTCCCCACGTCCGCAACCTCGGAGTTATTTTTGACCCTACACTCTCTTTTGACATCCACATCAATTCCGTTGTTAAGACAGCATTTTTCCATCTTCGCAATATTTCTCGCCTCCGACCAGTTCTCAGCCAAGCCGATATAGAAACACTTGTGCATGCATTAGTGATGTCACAGTTAGACTACTACAATGTTCCTTTTTCTGGCCTCCCTGTCAAAACCCTCACTAGGTTACAGTATGTTCAAAATGCCGCTGCTAGGGTCGTCACCTTTTCAAAAAAGAATGACCACATCACCCTGTTCTTCAGGGTCTTCACTGGTTGCCCATTACATTCCGTATTCAGTACAAAGTTCTCCTTATAACATATAAAGCTCTGCACAGTCTGGCTCCTCAATACTTGGCAGAGCTTCTTCATCTATATGTCCCATCCTGTACATTGAGATCACAAAATCTAGGCCTTCATGTTCCTAGATTTAAATTGGCTTCTATGGGTGGTCAATCATTTAATGTAGTAGCTCCCAAGTTATGGAACACTCTCCCATGGTCTATTCGGGATGCAACCTCTCTGTTTAAATCTCTGTTAAAGACTTGTTTTCACTGGGTTATCGTTGTTCTGTTTATACTTGAATGTTCATCATTATTGTCCCTTTGTTTAATGTGTTGTTGTTTAATGTGTTGATGCTCTTTGATTGTAAAGCGTCCTTGAGCATGGGAAAGGCGCTATATAAATAAAAGTGATGATGATGAAAGAAATGAAGGGAAAATAACTCTGAACAACCAGTGGGCCACCCATAACATGCCGAGCAGGAAGCCAGTGGGCCGCCAGCTTTACCAACAGTAGCCCAACAGTGGCCGGCTAAATTCTTTCTATCTGGGCAATATTTTTACAAAAGTGGTTCTCTATAAGGTCCTTTAGGGAAAAAAAATGGTTCTTCTATGGTATTGTGCAAAGAACTATTTCTGGCTCCTTCACTTTTAAGATTGTATGAGCATTGGTTGGTGCCCTGGTTTCTGAAAATTTGATGCCAATGATAAATAATAAATAATACAATGTAGTTATCTGCCTCAATATTTGATCATCATTTTTGAAATATGAGGAATTCTGGATATTAGTCACATTAGAACATTCTGGAGAGTCTGGCTGATGGCAGAATTTGGGGAAAATTAACTCTTGATGGAAATTTCTACTGCTCCATTCAGAAATATAATATATCTGGTTTGCTGCTGTCCATCACTGCTGTGCAAGCCTGTTTCCAAAACGTTGGGACACTCAGAATGCAATGATGTGCAAATCATTTGAACTCCATATGTATTTGAAAATAGTACAAAGGCAACATATCAAATGTTGAAACTGAGACAATGTATTGTTTGTTGAAAATATGTATGTCTATTTTGGGGGGCATGTTTACCACTGTGTTTCATCACCACTTCTTTAAACAGCACTCTGTGAACTAAGGAAACATTGCTGTAGTTTTGAAAGTGAAATGATTTACTGTTCTTGCTTGATACAGGATTTCAGCTGCTCATCAGTTCATCATCCAGACTCTTTTACTGCAAAGCCATGCTGTTGAAATAAGTGCAGAATATGTTTTGGCATTGTTTTGCTGAAATAAGCAAGACCAAAGACATCGTCTGGATGACAGCATATGTTGTTCCAAAACCTGTATATATTGTTCAGCATGTGCACTAATGCACCCCCATACCATCAGCCAGATGCCAGATACCAGAATGTCCTTCTCCTCTTTAGCCTGAAGGACACGGCACCCATGATTCAAAAAGTATTTCCATCTCACATGAGCTCGGGCCCAGAGAAGGCGACAGCATTTCTGGGTCCTGGTTTCTTCTTTGCATGCTTGAGTTTTAACTTGCATTTGTGGATGCAGTGACGAACTGTGTTTATAGACAATAGTTTTCAGACGTGTTTCTGAGTCCATGTAGTGATTTCCACTACAGAATCATGTCTGTTTTTAATGCAGTGCCACCTGAGGGCCCGAAGATCACAGCCAGCCAGTATTGGTTTTCAGCCTTGTCTCTTGCATACAGAGATTTCTCCGGATTCTCTAAACCTCTTAAGGCTATTATGTATCGTGGACTATGAAATCCCCAAGTTCTTTGCTATTTTACATTAAGAAATGTTATTCTCGAATTAAATACCTAATCATGTTACTGACCTGTTGCCAATGAACCTGGTTAGTGGTGAGATGTTGTCAAATTTGTTTTTTTAGCTTTATACAACTTTACCAGTCTTTTGTTGCCCCATCCCAACTTTTCTGAAACATATTGTTGGCAACAAATTCAAAATAAATATTTATTTTTCCAAAAAAAACAATAAAATCAAATAAAATAAAAAAAAATTGCACAGCATCCCAACCTTTTTGGAAACAGGGTTGTAATACATACATACACAAAAATATAAAATGGTTCATGTATATTCGACTAAATACAGGCTAAAAGGGCAAATATGTGTGTAGATGCTCTTTACAAAATTTTGACTTGGATCAGGTGGTCTTACAGAAAGAGTAGTGTTGATGGTTATATTTAATTTTGAGGATAATTTATTATAAAGGTAATTTACCTGTGGAGAAGATTCAGAGTGAAATGTGAGTTACAGCCAGTAGATGGCGATATATAAACTCTACTGGACACTCTGAGTCAGTGATGGATTATTGACCTGACCATAGGGGGCCAGTGCTCGTGGGGGCCTCTGACTGCTAGGGGCATCATTGCATCTCAGGACTGGGGACAGTCCACTACAGATGAAATGCATTGATTAATAGCTAAATAGCCCTCGATTATGCAATGATTAAATAAATAAGAAGGTCCCTCAGCCCATCTCCTGCAACCATATTTAAAATAATTAAGACCCCTCTATGTAAATATGACTGTTGTGGGATAATAGGCTGTTGCTCATTAATTGAGAATTTTTTGATTGTTTACATTATTACATTTCCAAATGTAAACAAACACAAGCTGTTTATCGAAGTTATTTTTCAGACCTAGTTTTGTTTTATTGTTAATTTTTTGCATTATGACTAGAGTGTGTCTGTGTTTGGGAGGGACTCCAAAGACGTTACCCAGGAGTCCGTCCCTACTCTCAGTCAACCTCAGCAGTAAATTAAGAGGAACTGAAACTCACCCAAATGAGTTTGTGTTTACATGAACATTCAGCAAGGACACTCTGCCTAGATACATAAATCTATAATAAACATATCAGCAAATAAGTTTTTTTTAAACTTTGTACTTGACACTGACTGACTGGCTTTGCAGTTCTGAAATATAATTTATAAACATAAAAAAGCTTCAATAGACAGTTGCATTGGAAAGTGAGTTTGTTGTCCATTTTCACCTGTGTTCATTTTCAGTCATTTGACCAGGGGTGCCCAAACTTTTGCACAAGACCATATCATCGCTGTCCAAAGAAAACCATGCATCTCCATTTTTGTCGCTTTTTATTTTTCGATATCATTTCAACACGCCGGTCGTCCTTTACATTGTGTAAAAGTTTCATGATGAATGGACCAATAGAAATGCTCTAAAATCACTTGGAATAAAATCTCTTTACATTAACTTACATTGAAAGATAAGAGTGTTTTTGTTTTTCTCCTGTAAAGTCATTTTGGAGATGCTTGTGTTTCTTTGGACAGTGACGATGTACAGTGAGTTAGATCCCTTCAGCAGGCAGCAGTGCCACTGTGTGGACTTTAAAACGGTCCAGTTCAGGCTTTTAAACTGAACATGTGTTGTTTGTGAAACAGGGTATTTGTCAACATTGGCAGCAGCGGTTCTTTTCCTGACCGTTGTGTTGGGGGTGGGATTTGTGACCGTGATCAGAAAGATGAGGAAAGATCATAAAAAAGGTAAGAGAGTCAAACTTCACTCCCAAAAATCTCCTGTTGATCAGTGACTCATTAATGACCTGCTGGAGATGACCGTGTTTCCCTGTTACAGTTACTGAGGAGAACATTTACCTGGATATGCGTGGATTTACTCAGAACAGAACTCCACCTGAACAGTCTAGAACTTCACCTCCGGATAACTCCACTTACGGTAAAGACCGTCACCACTTTTATGCTGTTGGCTGCAAAACAATATTCACGAAATATAAAGTTCTGTGAATTGTTTTTGCCTCTGAAGCAAGTTTCCAAGTTCAGATGCTAAATTTGAAAGTTAAAGCTGATTTTTCTACCAATGAAAAACAAAACTTTGATATTATATCCTCACTGTAACTTTGTAGCTGAAATTGCTGGGATATAATATTTATTACCTCAACAAACAGTACGGTTTGTTTTGGGGGAATTTAGATCTGGATTATGTTGTCGCTCTGTTGTTGTACATGACGCAAAATGTTTATTTTCTATTGGAAATTATTTGTGAGACCAAGTGTGCATAAAACATGACCTAGAACAATGGAACATGATCTAGAACATGTTTCCTACATTAACACTGCTGTTCAAACATTTAGAATCACCTTTCAGTATTAAGTAGTTTATTTCCTTTAACAGTAACTTCCTCAGTCCGGAATTAAATATTATAAACTAGACACAAAATATCATTTTGGATACTTTGTTAAATATTTGAAGATTTGAAGATGAGTAAATGATACATGGTTATGACATGATAACATTTATATGGTAATTACCTATTCATAATACTTTCTTTCTCAAGTTATCAGCCTTTTTGATAATCATTTTTTATATATCAGGCATTTCAGATGTTAATTTTGTTAAAATTTCGTTCTGGATATTAATTTTATTAGAACTTCATTATGGATATTAATTTTGTTAGAACTTCATTCCGGACATTAATTTTATTAGAACCTCATCCTGGATATTAATTTTATTAAACTTCATTATGGATATTAATTTTGTTAGAACTTCATTCCGGACATTAATTTTATTAGAACCTCATCCTGGATATTAATTTTATTAGAACCTCATCTTGGATATTATTTTTTATTAAACTTCATTCTGGATATTAATTTTATTAGAACTTCATTCTGGATGTTAATTTTATTAAACTTCATTCTGGATATTAATTTTATTAGAACTTAATTATTGATATTATTTTTATCAGAGTTTCATTTTGGATGTTAATTTTATCAGAATTTTGTCCTGCATATCGTTCTTATTAGAACTTAAACTCAGTCAAACTCAGTTTAGAATCTTTAACAGCTCTGTTTATCATTTTTATTTAAAGCTTTATTCTAATGTGTATTAATCTGTAGAGTTGTAGAGAAGCAGCATCACATTAGAATCATTTAAACTGTAAATGTATCTGTAATTAAAATGATTCTGAAGTGATGCAGTGATTCACTCGTTGAGGAGCTGGTCAGTGTAATAAATCGGAGCTGCTCGTTTAGGTTGTTTCCTAAAATCTCCTGATTCAGTAAAGAGGGACATTCATTCAGAATCTTCTGACTTCATTCCTAGTGCAGTTAACTGTGTTGGAAAGAGAATGACTGATTCAGTAATTCGATTAAAGTATTAGTCATCGATCATCTTAATCCCTCCATCCAGTGACAGGCTCACTTCTTCTCCTCTTCCTGTTTTCACTATTGTGTATTAAGTGTTACCGCTTCGCTCTTTATCCATGTTGCTGTTGTTGTGTTATTGTTTTGCTGTCCGGTGTGTACGAGTGGAGAACAGGTTCCCCCTCTCTGAGTTTTTCTTGGTGGCTCTCATTTCGTTTCTGGACCTGGATTTTCTGTGAAGCTGCTGCTGTAAAATTGCTATAGAAACATGTTTCAAATTGAACTGAATGTTTTTCTCACTGTTTCTCCTCCAGACATTTTCAGGCCTCTGCAGCAGAACAGCTCATCAGAAGTCGATGTGGAGGATGTGTATGTGTTATGATGTGTATATAACATTATTATCAGTTTGTGTATTATTATAGATGTAGATTGTTCAATCAGTTCTCCTGTCTGGGGCAGCTGGTTATTCATATTACTAATATAAATGCTGACATATTAAATATTGTTGATATGTTTGGATTGTATGTACATACGCATAGTCTGTATCTATAACTGATCTTCCTTCAGAACTAGAGATAAAAGAGGTGCTTCTTATTTATTTGTTATGATGGATTATCTCTGCTATTGGCTTTGTGCTTAATCATTTATACAGTGAGTGTAGGTGTGTGTGTGTGTGTGTGTAGGTGGGTGTGTGTGTACATGTATATATATAAAATTTTTTTTAGAAAAAAAAATCTCCATTTTTTATGTTTTTATTTTCCTACATCATTTAATCACAGCAGCGGCTCTTTACATTATCATGAATGGACCAAAAGAAATGCTTTAAATTTGCTTGGGATAAAATGTCCTTAATTTAACTTATATTAAAGGTTAAGAAAGTTTTTGCCTTCTCCAGTAAAGTTACTGTTTTGGAGATACATGTTTTTCCTTCAATATATATTCATATGAAAAACTCCCTTGTACAAGGAGGGCTCTTGATTTTAGAAATTATTAAAATTTTAAGATGCAGTACTGTTATGTTGACCTTATTAAACTCCACCAAGAATTTCAGCAGTGACATAAATTTTAATTGAGCTAAAATCATCATTTTTTGGAGTTTATAATCTTGTGTTTACACACAGTTGTTTTAATAAAAACAACAACAACAACAACAACAACAATAATAATAATAATAATAATAATAATAATAATAACAGACTTGTTTTCTGAAGTTTACATATATTCATCATTAACATAAAGCATGTAAACATTTAATGTAAGTAAAAATAATTTTAATATATGTATATTTTGGACTTTTTGGGACCTTTTTGGAGCAGTCACTGTAGTTCCTTGTGAAATATTGAATATTAAAAGTTGTTGCAACATCAAATCTTTGCTGTGTTTAAGGGCTTCTGTTTCTACGTTAACATTACATGTTGAAATATCGATCTGTTGTTGTTTCTGCTTGTGTTAGAAGGTGTTTCAGTCTTTGCTGAGCACCTTTCATACACTGTGGTCATTCACAGTGCTTTACAGATGAGAAAATCCAAAGATAATTAAAATTAAAATGGAATAAAATGTAGGAGAGTAGAAATTAAAACCATAATTAAAACAATAGAACTGAAAGAGAAGAAATTAAACGTTAAATTAAAGATTGAAGATTAAATTACATTTATAATTACATTTACAGCATTTAGCAGATGCTCTTATCCAGAACGACTTACAAAAAGTGCTTTGTCTATCCAGAGAAAGTATCTTTGCTAGTTACCAATAGGTTAGAGAGAAAGCCAGTCCTGAGCTCAGATACTGCTAGAATCAGAAAGTCATTATTGATACCCAGAGAAAAAGGAACAGGGTTAAACACAGAGCAGTGCAATACAATACAATACATAAGTGCAGCACAATACATTAGAATCAATACTTAATTCAGTGCAATTAGTATAATAACATGTCATTAGAGGACAGCAGTGCAGTAGAGCTAACAGTATTTAAACTGAACTGAAAGCTGCTCAAATAGGAGCGTTTTCAGGCCAGACTTTAAAGTGTCCAGTGTCGGGGCTTTTCTAATGCTCTCTGTCAACTGGCTCCATTTAAGAGCAGCATAGTATCTAAACGCTGCTTCTCCATGTTTTAGTCTTCACCTTCAGCAGGACTAACTGACCAGTTCCTAATGATCTGAGAGTTCTGCTCGGCTCATGTCGCTGCAGCAGATCAGATAAATAAGCTGCTCCTGCACCATTAAGACATTTATAGAGTAGTGACAGCACCTTAAAGCCTATTCTGGAACAGACTGGGAGGCAGTGTAAGGGTTTAAGAATGAGGGGGTTGATGTGCCCCTTCTTTTACTCCTAGTGAGACTGTGGCAGCTGCATTCTGAACCATCTTAACCTGTTTGATTGTCCTGTCGGGAGAACATTACGGTAGTAGAAATAAAGGTGAGGATGAGTTTCTCCAGGTCTGGTTTCCTGAACTTCATTGTGATGGGGTTGGACATCTCAGTGTTATCTGGCACCCACCCACCCACCCACCCAAACATCCACCCACCCACCCAAACATCCACCCACCCACCCACCCAAACATCCACCCACCCAAACATCCACCCACCAGCCCACCCACAAAACATACACACAAACATCATCTAAACCGCTTATCCTTCTGGGTCGTGGGGGGTGCTGGAGCCTATCCCAGCTGTCATTGGGCAGAAGGCAGGATACACCCTGGACAGGTCGCCAGTCCATCGCCGGGCAGACAGACAGACATATACATTCACACACATTCACTCTTAGGGGCAGTTTAGCATGTCCAATTAGCCTGACTGCATGTCTTCGGACTGTGGGAGGAAACCGGAGTACCTGGAGGAAACCCACGCAGACACGGGGAGAACACGCAAACTCCACACAGAGAGGACCTTGGTCGCCCGGCCGGGAATCGAACCCAGGCCCTTCTTGCTGTGAGGCGACAGCGCTCTAAATAAAACAAAATAAAATAAAATAAAATAAAATAAAATAAACACTGTTGTGCTGTTGGCAGATGAAAGCTGAATCAGAACATATGTATGGAAATAAAGATGCACAAATGTAGATAAATATGGCTGTTAGCATGAATATAAATATAAAACACGCTTAAAACATAGAATGTCAGTTTAGATTCTGCTTTATCTTTTGTTGAATTGGTGGTTTTACAATTTCATGATAGCAGTGGTTGAAGTTTAGGGTTTGAAACAAAGTAAAAAACGAACCTGACCTGTTCCTGAGGGAACACAATAACAAAAACATGTGTAGACAGATTAATAAAAGGATCATTAAAGCCTAAGAATTATTCTTCAGTAACTACATGGACTTCAGTGCAAATTGACTGAGCCATTCTTAGCTTATAGAAATGTACAATAAAACTTTAGGCCTGCTGGTGGTATCTGGCCATTTAAGGGGTTAAAACCTTCTACAGCTCTTTGTTAAAGTGTGTACAGATGCTGGTTGTTCAGCTGTTACTCATGTTTGTCTCCTCTGTGGAATTAAAGTAGGATCTATGAAAGCTGTTTATTTATTCATTTGTTTGTTTTCTTTACTTGAGGACACATTTATTATCTGATTGCCTTTAAAGCTGTAAACGTGTTGCTGAAGATGTATGTTCTGTAGCTGAAACATCTGATAGGTTCTTCACACTGTGGAAACATTCATATAAGGATAAAAACAAAATATCAAAACAAAAACAAATGCTTAGTTACTTTGTGCCTTTAATCTCTTTATTTTAGCTGCATTGGTCTGTATCGTCTTTATTCTACACTCTTAAAAAAGATGGTTCTTCAAGAGTTCTTAAGTAAAGACGATGGTTCTAAATAGAACCAGGAACACCCAACACTCATTCGCATGCTTAAAGGGTAAATGTATGGTGAAATAGTTCTTCAGCTTGGTAGAAAATGGGTTGTTAATGGTTCTATATGGTAAATGGTTCTATATAGAATCTTTTTGAAAACGGTTCATTGTAGCACCAAAAGTGTTCTTCTTATTACAAGCTCGACATCGTACACAACAGTAGAACCCTTTTTTGTGCTATATAGGATTATTTTTTAAAAAATGTATATAGAACCATATACAGTTCATCAATCTGAAGAACCACATAGAACTCATGGTTCTAAACAGAACCATTCCTTTTCCTACAGAACACCTGAAGAACTTTTTTAAGAGAGTAGATCAGTTGTAGTCGGCTCACCAGGGTGTTTGTTTTGGCCCTACAGAGGGTTCATCTAACTCCAGAACATCATCACTTTGGATTTTTTTTTTTTTATTTCAAAAATGTTTTGAAACAAAACATACAGTCTAATGTTCTAAAACACAATAAAAATCACATGGTTGCTCAAACGTTTCGTTGCTTTCATTATTCAGAAACTAATTTTTTTACATCACCTCAATAAAATGTCTAATGCTGATAATATTCTATAAATCTCACAGCTTATGTGATGTAAAAAAATGTTTGATGGTGAACGGAACTGGAAATAGGTAAGAAATCTGCACAGCATCCAGAATTACAAATTCCTCATCAATTAAATGTCTATTCATAGTAATATCAACACAATGAATGTTGATTATAAATAGGTAATTACAGTTTATTATTTAATACACTTATTAATACACTTATAACTTTTGAAGGACCATCCCTTTTTTAAGACTCTACACTTTAAAATAGATGGTTCTTCAAGGGTTCTTTATTTAGAACCATGAACACTTTGCATTTTCAAAAATGGCTCTTCAGATTGATGGAGAACTTGTTGTATATGGTTCCATATATCACCAAAAAAGATTCTTCTATTATTAAAAGCTTGACATCATAACAATAGTTAGAACCCTTTTGTGTACTATTAAATTAGAACCACATACAACACATTCGCCATCAATCTGAAGAACCATTTCAACGTGCAAAGAACAATTTATGCACAAAATCATTCTATTTAGAAATCATGGTTCTAAATAGAACCTTTGAAGATCCATCTGTTTTAAGAAGGTAGATTTACGTGTCCTTACCATGAAACTGACCAAATGACCTAAAAAAAACATGTTTTTTGAAGCGAAATAAAGCCACTTTTTTCTGCATGTCCTGGTGCAGCTTATAAATAATGTACAGTAAAAGTGTCTTTAATGTGACTGTGGTTGAAAACATATCTGTGGTTGGAAACACCCACATACAAAAATGGAAAGCTAATAAGTGAATATGGTGTTTTGTCTTTTTGGACCACGAACAGTATCCTCACCCATGACATAAACTTTTGGCACCCCTGCTTTATCAGTTAAAGCACAGTTACAGTGTGAGACGGGTAACGCTCTTGCAACAAAACCTTGTATGTCCAAAATGGTAGCATTACAGGAGAAGAAAAAAGATTCTTACCTTGCAATGGAAGTTAATATCTTCCTTCTTTCTGTATTTACAATTACGTTCAGCCCTTAAAGCATATGGAGTTCCATGGGGAACAAACCTCAAGCCACATCCGATTTATAGCTGGGTAATTAATGTGCCACAGGCTATCTGGGAAAAGGAACTATGTTAATACAATTGATTGGAAAATAGCATGAGAAAATATATTTCATGCATCAAATAAAGAGGGTTGTTTATGATTTCCTTCAGTTCTGAAATATTGTGATAAAGAGCTGCTTGATTAACAGGAAACATAAAAAATGAAATCACTAAAAAATAATGGAAGTTAATGTAGCAAGACTTTTTTCTAAGTCATTTTGGACCATTTCTGTTGATCCGTTAATCATGGAATATTGACACAAAACAAAGAGCAACAAAAATTTTAAATCATGCAAAAATAAATACAGAGACAAATATGGAGACACAACATTTTTGTGCTACAGTGACGAGATTTATACCATCAAATCATCAAGCTACAGGGTCAGCATGGTACCGCACATGATAGAACACTGTTTGGGTGGAATAATGAAATTCTGACCGTCTAAAATGTTGACCCACAGTGTCTCTAACTCATCTCCTCTGAAACACTGTACAGACAGTACACACGCTTTCACACACGGATGCCATAGAAGAACCGAAAGAACCTTTAAATAACCCTCAAAAAGTTCTTTACAAATAAAAGTTTTGGTCCCATTTAGTCTCTAATAAGTGTCTCTAATAACGGTGTAGTTACATGTGAACAACATATGCAACAACATTGTAACTACTAATGATTTAGTCTTTGTTGCAGATGGATTACTGAGTTACAACTCATGTAATTACACAGGTGTATGTCAATAATTTTAACAGGCTGTACTATGTCATGTAATTACACAAGGGTAATAACATAAATAAAATTACATTTGTAATCAGACTTTCAAATGTTTTTTTTTTTCAGCAGTAAAAGGAAGTATGTAATAACGTACATTAAGACATTATTTACACTGTATCTACCAACTTACATAACATTTATGTAGCATTTATGTTGCTAGTGCTGTAATCAGTTTCAACTTTAAACCATTCTGTAATGTGACCGTACAGTAGGTGTCCCCTTATCTTAAACCGTAACATTTATGACATTAATTAAATGTGTTACATCAAACCCAAAGCAATGTCTATATTACAACTTCATTATTACATAGTACCTACATAACAACTACACAGGAACTGTCCACTTATTACATAGTGTAACTTTAACACTACACAGGAAAGTTCCTGTGTAGTTGTTATGTAGATAAAGTGTAATTACAGAATGGTATTAATCAATGTGATGTGATTCATTTATGTACAACATAAATTAATGTTATATAAAACATACTTTAACTGCTGGAAAAGACTTCTGATCTTTAGTGTACCAAAAAGATACACTTGTGTAATTACATGAGGCAAAACTGAAGTTGATACATATGTGTAATTACAAAGGCTGTACTTCTGTAATCCATCTGTAACATTGGCTAAATCATTAGTTACAGTGTTGTTACATATGTTGTTCATGTGTCAATACACAGTAAATCTGTCTGTAGACAGACTAACCAGCTGTGTGTCACATATTTCTCAGTGGATGTCGCAAAATTTTCTACAATTAAATCATGAAAAAACTGAAATATTCATCATTGGTACAGAAACTCAGAGAAAAATGATTTACGAGAAACTTGCTTCTTTATCTTCGTATACCAAACCTGAAATACGAAACCTGGGTGTGATCTTAGACTCTGAGCTCTGTTTTATCTGCGTGTAAACACAGTCAGTAAAGTAGCTTTTTATCATGTGAGAAAATCACTAAAGTTCAGTCTTTTCTCTCTCAGAGCGACGCAGAGAAACCTGTTCATGCATTTGTTACAGCAGAGTTGATCACTGTAATGATCTTCTTACTGAACTTCCTGAGAAAACAATACATCCTTTACAACTCAGCATCTTACAATGCATCAGCATCCTAACAAAAACAACACAGAGAGATCAGATGACTCCTGTTTTAAAAGAACTGCATTGGCTGTCTGTATCGCTCAGGGTAGATTTTAAAGTTCTGCTACTAGTTTTTATGGCTCTAAATGACCTTAAAGCACCACTTACATCACAGAGTGTCTGTCTGTTTATGTTCCAGCATGTCATCTTAGATCTGCAGATAGTGGCCTTCTACAGATACTCTCTGTAAAATACAGAAAACATAAAGAGACTCATTTAGTTATTCTGCTTCTAAACTGTGGAGCTCAATTCCACCTTTTATTAGACAGTCAAGCTCAGTGTTCACTTTTAAGAAGCATCTGAAAACGCAGCTCTTTAACTCAGCATTTAATTAAAACTCTACGTCTCGTGGTGTTTATCTTCTCATTTGATCTGTCATTTTCTTATACCACCAGCATGAAAAGTGCTATATAAATAAAAAGTATTATTATTATTGTTATCGTTATTGTTATTGTTATTGTTAATAATAATAATTAGAGACAATTAATATAATGTGGGACCAAAGTTTTTCTCAGAACTGTATGTCTGAGCCAAGACCCACTGAGGAACCTTTATTTTGAAGAGTGTAGGCCATCACAAGTTTCTTCATATTGTTTGAAAGACCTTCTAGACTTTATGAGCACATGCAGTAATAATGCGAGCTAAAGTGTTACAAACGTTCTCCAACCTGTTCCAAACAGAACAAAAACTGTATAAGTGAACACGATACGTAACCAAATTCTCGGTGGCTCACCCCGCTGCGGGAACATTCCTCTTAAAGAGCCGCTGGGTCAAAGGAGCAGGAACGAAGGCTCGCATGCAAATTGTGTCAAGGTAAGACCAGGCAGATACCCATAAAACTGAGCAATCTTTATGACCCCAACATGATCAACCTTTCCATAATCTACAGCTTTATTGCTTTACTTTAGTTAATCATTCAACAGGCAGGTGACAAAGATCCAGGCAGGTGACAAAGCGCCACATAAAATACGTTTACTTTAAATAATGTCTCTTCTTCGCCTTCCACATTATTTCATTCAGAACACATACAAATTAGGAGTCTAACCATCGTTCATAAACAAAGAGATGGGAACAACTTTGTATTTTCAGATTCATATCAGTGCCTGTGTCTATCTGTGTTTCTCTCCCAGCATATGACACATCCTTCACTCTTCATTTATGACTTCAGCAGAAGTTTCATTTGCCTTTCATAAATAATTGACCCCCTGTTTGCTGATTTTGAAAAGCAAAGCAGCTGACAGTGTTTTCAGGCTTATGAAGCTTTATTCATATTTCAATCCAGGGCTTGTTCACTGATCAAATGAGAAACACTAATTAAATGAAATATTAATCATTTTTTATCTTTGGCTTCATTTTTAAAACTTTAAACAATCTGAAATGGAAAAACTGAACAAATAAGCTAAACTGTGCTTATTACGTTGTCAGAATAGGGGATAACTATCTTTTTGAGGGCTACATACATAAACACTTTATAACACATTCATAAGCACTGGATAACATTGTTATAAAGCAATGCTTGAATGTTTATAAACCTCTTATGACAGTATTCAGAGCATAATGTAAGATGCTTTATGAAGTAAATGGCATTGTATTGACATAAGAGCCCTTAAACTGAAGTACATTTATAACACTGTTATGAAGCATCATGTAAAAGGCAGCAATCTAGTTAAGAACACCACATACCCGGTCTATAAAGATTCTCAAACAAACAAACTTACTCTCTCTCTCTCTCTCTCTCTCTCTCTACATATATATATATATATATATATATATATATATATATATATATATATATATATATATATATATATTCTGTGCTTATGCATGTGTTATAAAGTGCCTATAGGTAGCCCTCAAGTGTTACAGAATGAAGCACTATATGTTACTCTATATGTGGCTGTGAGTGCTGCAGAGTGTAGAGTGTAAAGGATTTCAAAATTGACACCTTTTTCAATTATTTATAAATATGCTTAAATATTGACTCATTTTTTTAAAGAATTGTGCAAATAAATTTCAACATTTAGAGTAAAACAATTATATTTCTGTTGTCTGGCTTTAAACACTTACAGTGTTAAAGAGTAAATACTATAAATAATTTTTATATATTATTTTGCAAAGTATTTGCCTGTCTGTCTGCCCTGCGATGGACTGGCGACCTGTCCAGGGTGTATCCTGCCTTCCGCCCAATGACAGCTGGGATAGGCTCCAGCTCCCCCCATGACCCAGAAGGATAAGCTGTTTAGATGATGTGTGTGTGTGTGTGTGTATTATTTGGCTTTATGCTAAGGCAGAGGTGGGATTAATATTTTGTCTATTGGTGACACTTTATTTTATGTGGTCTTTTTTAGATGAAACAAACACATCAGACTCTCAGAAACATGGCAAAAACATATCAGGGTTAGGATTAGGATTAGGCTTTGGGTTGAGGTTAAGGTTAGGATTAGGGCCAGGGTGAGGGTTAGGATTAGGTTTTGGGATGAGGTGAAGGTTAGTGTTGGGATTAGGATCAGGGTGAGGGTTAGGTTTTGGCTGAGGTTAAGGTTAGGATTAGAAGACAAACCTTAATGAAAAATAAGTTGTAGAGTCTGTAACAAATAAAATAGATTTTTAAAAAATCAATCTGGATTAAATTAACTTATCTTTAAATTATCTTTAGAACACTCTGCTGTCCTCACTGTAAAGAGTTTCTAGCCATTTTCTAATCCTGGGTTTATGTTTATATTTAGATGTATTCTCTAATGATCAGAATCGAGCCTTGCTGGCCATGTTTACACACAAGGAATTTGTTTTGGTTCCACAGTGACACAGTGACAGTGCTACTGCCACCCATATCCACACAGACTGAATTTAAAAAGGGATTTTGAGTCATTTTGTGTTCTTCTGACATTTGTGCTGAGATTTTATAAAGTTGGTGATGTTCCAGGATGCCGTTCTGTCTTGGTGAGTAAATCATTCACAGATTTTCTCCTACAGGATGTGAATTATGAACAACGAGACTCTATCTGAGGGAATCAGAGCTCAGATCTGCTGTCGGTTCTGCAGTGTCATGTTGAAATGTTGAAATGTCGAAATGCGCTAAATTATCAACAAAGGCAAAGGTTAATTACTCGAGTGAAGGGCAAACATTTCACCAGCGGCCAAAAGTACAGACATTAACCTGCTCTGAATTCCACACTAACTTACAGTGAAATTGAAGAACATTTTTAACCTCTCCTGTGAAGGTTCTTTTTGGAGATCAGAGGGTTTTGTAAAGAGTAATGATACATTACTTTATTTATATCAGTCATCTGAAACTTTATTTATATCACTAATTTGCACACATTTTATAAGTATTCAAAAATTATCAGTACAGTCTGCTGTTCATAAATTACAGCACGTTCTAACAGCACTGAAGCTGTATAATTATAAACATCCAGTGCTTTCTTTTACAGTCTTTTATGTTCTACGTATTAACCTGGTAAGTGCGAGGTACAAACTCCAAAGCACTACATCATTATTTTTGGTAAAATGATGGTAAGTTCTAGGGTAGTCTCACTAAATTACACTGAAATTCCAAAATGTTCTAACTAATCATTGGATGAGTATGAGGTACAAACTCCAAAACAATAGATCATTATTTATGGTAAATTATGGTAAGTTCTAAGGCAGTTTAATTAAAGTACACTGAAACACCCAATAGGTTCTAGATATTAAATAGATAAGTGTGAGATGCAAACTTTTAAGTTCTAGGTAATTATTTGGGCTAACATGATGGTGAGTTTTAGGACAGTTTAACTAAATTACACTGAAATGCTAAATAAGTTCTAGATATTAACTGGATAAATGTGAAATCCAAACTCCAGAGTCCTAGGTCATTATATGGGCTGACATGACACTAAGGCCCAATCCCATTTCTTCTTTTTACCCCTACCCCTTGTTTTCGAGTGTCACCCTAACCCCTTGGAACTGAGTTACAAGGGGTAGTGGTTAAAAACTTGCCCTACGAAATGGGACAACCCTCAAAAAAAAACCAAAAAAAAAACCCACTTCATTAACAACCTACTAGCGTTGCTCTGCAGGCGACCCAGCGCGTCTTCAGTGATAGCAGAGAAGGGAGACGCTCAGCAACCTCGCCACTGGGCTTTAGTTACATTTAGCGCATCAAATGCTTTCAAAGAAGGGGGGCAATTATTTATTATCACCCACTCCAATTATTTGGTGATACGAAGCTGAAGTCATCTATTCGCTAGCTTCTTGTTTGAATTTTCCCGTTCCACCTTAAATGGTGCAGCAGTTACATTCTGGCGCTCCTGGCGTCAATACTGCCGGACTATTTAAGGTGGAATGAGAAAGTTAGCTAGCTACTGAGAAATTAGCATGGTATTAGCGATTTTTTGTGCCTGTTATGAAGAAAACGACCATAATACATTGAAACGACATTAAACTAAGATAATTCAATAGTTATCGTAATTTTTTAACGGAGAAAATTCTCACATTTGTGGGTTTCTTCGGTCGCTTGCGCAGCCATCATGCTGGTTATTCTTTTTTTTCATAACACTGAGCCATGTAGCCCTAACACTTCGCCCTACCCCTCTATCTCAACTAAAATTGGGACACTCTTACCCTAGACATGAACGCGCAAAACAGAGGGCTAAGGGCTAAGTTGTAGGGGCAAGGGGTGAAATGGGATTGGGCCTAAGTTTCAAGACAGTTTAACTAAATTACACTGAAGAGCTAAACAGGTTCTAGACATTAACTGAATAAACGTGAGGTGCAACTCCACAGTGCTGTGTAAATATAGTCATCATATAGTTATATGATGTAAAAGACATATATATGACGTTATATGATGTAATAAAGTAAAGAGTCTTATGCCATATGTATCTGTTTATTATCAATAAGCTAAACAAAATCTGGGCTGTAAAAGAAAGCAGAGATTCTTACGGTGGTTCGACTGCGTTGTTATTGTTTACTTCAGAGAACTATCTCTGTATTTACATACTTACATGCTAAGTAGAGATGTTTCTGATTTACTTTCCTGCCAAAACAAGTGACATTACAATGAAATTAAATGTGTATATGGTTGTAATTGCCAGCTTATTCATACAAAATTATAAAGCACTTTACTATATCCTTTGTCAACTTATTGCAGTTTGATCTAGTTAAACTGTCTTGG